GGCTCCGGCTCCGGGTCTGGCATGCCAAGTTGAGAGAACGACAGTAGCACGGGATCAGTGGCTTGTGATTCACTATCAAGTTGAGAGACGGGAATATCACTCGTCGTGCCTATGTCAGGCCACTGTAATGAACCGTTTGGTGTTACGATGGGGGTGACAACGTAAGGCTCGGAATCTTGCGACTCTAGTATGAGAGGAGGCTGAGATTGAGATTGAGATTCAATTTCTATTTGTCGCGGAAATTCCATTGGAGGCGTTTTTGAATGATGCCATGGTGGTGCAGCAGGTTGACGAGCCAAAGAACGTACGTGAGCGAAGCCACGGGCGCGTTTGAATGGTGGTTCGTGTTGAGAGACATCAGGTTCTGTATCTTCCCGTACCAGAGTTGATCTCTTGGATGAGGTGGGTATAGCAGAGGTATTGTCTTGAAAGACGTCATCCTCTTGCCTTGTGCGTTTCAAGGATCGTGACCCTGGCTGGTATTGACGAACTCGATAAGGCTGCACAGGGGGTAGCTTGCTCTCATATGCAAAATCTCTGACTTTGATGCCTAACTCAACAAGTAAATTTGAATGTCCTTGAGATTGTGGGTCTATGTCGACTGGTGCTGTTGAGATGGGCTTGGAGGACGGACCGGCGATTGGCGGTGCTAATTGCGACGATGAACTCGTCGATGATGGCTTTGAATATGACATTTTATCAGACAAAGCTTGATGAAGATGGTGAACGCCACGTTGCAGACTTACGATGGGCTGAGGAGTCACGATTGTAGGTGCAACCTCAAGCGTCTTGGTATCCATTTTGGGCAAGATAAAAAGGACCCTGAGTCGTTGAGCACGCAATGAATAGACTACACGCAGTGCTGAAGGTCCAAGACAATGGGCTAATGGTGCCTTTGCTTTAACTGGGCTGGCGGTGAAAGATATGTTTGATCAAGCAAGCTTTCCATTGTCCGTTGAAACTGGTGGTAACTTTTTTAACATTTGTCATGGGGTCACAATAATGTCACGTGCATCACTCTCACTCTGTCACTTTCACTGTCACTGTGGCCCTCTCCATCCTGCCGGATGCTTCGCAACGCCTGGAAACCCGTCGCCGCCGCTGTAGCCGTCGGTGGACCTGCATACGTCTACTACACATCCAAGTCCGACTGGCACGAGACCTTCAAACTCGCTATCAAGGTCAAGGGCGCTGACGGGCGACCAGAAATGACGACTCGTGATATACCTCTTTTGCCCTTGAAACAGGTAGAGACTCGCATCACAGAACATGCTATAGAGAATACCCATTCTCGCCCCGGTGGACCGAGGTGGAAGTTTACCACCGCGGCCTTAGCCTCGAATGACCCAATAGAGGATGCAAATGCCCATCAGGTTATCCAAAGAGATGAAGCTGATCCTTCTGCGCCAGGGGATTACCTTTTCTTTACCGTAATGGATGGTCACGGTGGCCGAGACACTTCCCAACTCCTTTCTCGCGTGCTCATCAACGCAGTTGCTTTGGAACTCTCAAACCTCGTCACACAGCCGAAAGCACAACCTAATGCTGGCCTCCTGCAAAGAGTCTATTCTCTCGTAGGGTCTTCACCAGCGCAAAGAACCCAGGCCGCACTAGATGCAGACCCGCAACGGGTGTCGCGTGCCATCGAGAGTGCTTTTTCGAAGCTGGACACAGAGCTCGTTAACGCGCCTATCCAGATCCTCGCTAGCAATCTGGATGCCGAAGCGCGGAAGAACAAAATTATACCTGACCTTAGCCAGCACCCCATGGCCCTTCCCACCATGCTCCCGGCTATCTCAGGTATTGTCCATCTTCTTACCGATCATCCGGTTTGAGACCTTTTTCTAGGCAGCTGCGCCTTGATGGCGGTATTTGACACGGCCCACAAGGACCTTTATGTTGCGTGTACGGGCGACAGCCGTGCTGTTGCTGGTGTCTGGGAGAAGACTGCCGACGGCAAAGGCCAATGGCGTGTGGAGGTCCTCAGCGAGGACCAAACTGGAAGGAATCCCAATGAACTCAAACGGTATGACTTTAGAGGCTCTCTATCCTTCTGATGACGTTCCATCTTAAACGTCAAAAAGACTGCAATCGGAACACCCCCAAGACGAGGCAGATTACGTCGTACGCGAGGGACGGATCCTAGGTGGATTAGAACCTTCGCGGGCGTTCGGTGATGCTAGATATAAGTGGCCTCGAGCAATACAAGAAACGTAAGGTTATCTCCTCCTTTCCTCATTACTGTACCAAACATTTGCGAAAGACTAAGCCAGGCTTTTCTCGTTGGTAATGGCCGACCTTTACGTCCGCCTCCTACCCTATTCAAGACACCCCCCTATGTCATTGCACAGCCCGTTGTGACTCATCGGAAACTCGACTTCCCGTCCAATCCGGAGACTTATTCCCCTGGTGCACCTCGATTCCTTGTCCTCGCCACAGACGGTCTTTGGGATGAGCTCAGGTATGTCGCCTAACACCGAGCCTCTGCATCTATTCTGAATCGTAGACATACAGTTCAGAAGACGTTGTCAGCTTGGTAGGAGGTCACCTTGCTGGTCTTAAGGGCACAATCTCCAAGTCGGAACTGCCAACACTTGTACCTACATCGGCTGGATCCATGGGAATTGATGGCAAAAAGAAGAGAAAAGAGGAGACTTCCGGCTCATGGGCCTTTGTTGACGAGAACTTCAGTGCTCATCTCATCAGGAACGCTTTCGGCGGCGGCGATGTCAAACATCTTCGACAATTGCTTAGCATACCTGCACCATACTCAAGAAGATACAGAGACGATATCACAGTCACCGTGGTTTGGTGGGAGGATGGGAAGGAGGATGCAGCCAAGGTCACTACTATTAAGTCAAAGTTGTAGCCTGATCTAAATGTATGAAGCACAAGTTCATAAATTTGTGGTGTACTTTTTAATGATTTAATGATACAGCATCGCAAACAACGTATATGACTGCCTTCTAGTAACCTTACGCAACCATGGATCGTCAGCTTATCGCGAGCAAAGGGGTTTTTACCCCGAGGATGTGAGTCGCGTCACTTCCACGATGACCATTTCTCCTCGCCTGGGTGGTGTTTCATCTCCTTGGATTGTGGCATTTTTCGGGACTTGTAGGCGACGATGTGTGGATATTGGACGAAGGGGTTGGTGATGACACATTTTGAGTCGCCTTTTTTGGACCTCTGGTTCGTCATTCTTCTCCCCAACTGAATCGTACGCTGAAGCCTTTAGAGTCTCGACTTGCGTGGCCTGGACGTCTTGTAATTTTGAATGGCACGTACGGGTTGCGTCAGGCTATTCTTTTTCGTGGGAGTCTCGACGCCTTGCAGCTAATATTCATCCTAAGCAATTCAATATGAATTTTTGGAAAACGACTCTTGGGTTTTGTTCTGGCAGTAGGTTTTGTCTCTGTAAATGCAGCCGCCAGCTGCTGACATCATTGTGAATCCTTCACATTGAGCAATGCGTCGAAGAAGTTATAAATCTGAGTCTAGTGTCTCAATCCATCTGACTCAAGTAACCCACCAACTAAGCCATTATCGATAATCTCGCACTCCGTCATGGGATATCAACATAGGGCAGCCTTTTCATATGGTATCGCACTTAGCCAAAAGCAATACCGACGTCTTGCCGCCGCCGCGAGCAACGAAGAAGCGGACGAGGAAGTCGACATGGAAGACGTAGACAACGAGGATAGTGGTGACGACGATGACGACGACGACCAAGGCTTCGCCAATATCATCCATTCTTTTCTTAACTCGGATGCCTTTGTGCCCTTTCTGTTCGAGACAGAGCTCAAATGCGAGGCTGGTGGCCTGCAAGGGGAAAAGCCAGAACTTCTCATCACATTCACTGGGTCTGATGAGAAGGAATTCGAACAGCACTCGGTGGAATTCTGGGGCTACGAAAACTGTACGTTTCCTTGTGCTCTCTCTCTACTATCCTTATACTTTTCTAGATGCTACAAAGTTTAAAAAGGTTAAAATCGATGAAGAGTACATGGAAATGGGGAGAGAGGCTTTTAACAAAGTTCAGGACAGTGACGCTTTCAAAAAAGCTAAAATCGAAGTAACTGAGCCGTCGTGGTTTTTGATCATTTCTGGCCATTAGATGCGATTGATTGATGTTTAGCTTCCAATGTAATCCTCGCTCAATATTGGCTCTCAATTGCAATTGTCGTACTGATGATTGAGACGAGTCAATGTGGCGCAACATTTCAGAAGCAACATTGGCGAAGGCGTTGAATGGAATGGGCGTCGACATACTTTCCTACCACATGTTTAACGAATGAAAAAGAGGTTTTGAGAAGATCACTATTGGAGGCATTCGGTGTCGAACCGGACACATTTAAGTGTGTTGCCACTGTCAGAGACACGGCCACGATCATTCCATTGCCCGTTCGTTATGATGCAAGTGTTAATGAACATACTACAAAATCTTATTTGAGCACTAGGCCCCCGGAACTTGAAGAAAGTAACGTTGCATATCTGGCACACACCAAAACTTGTACTAGGTGGCACTCCCTCCCAACAGTGGACACATCCGGAATCGAACCGAATGCTTCCCATTTTCCGGTATTGAGTAGAAGTTGCCAATAGAATGATGCACTGTGCATTGGCTGTCTCTCTTGTGCATTGTATCTTGACCAACAGATGTATAACATTTGAGATGCCTGTGTCTGGAGTGGCGCACCAGTGCTCTACAGGTTGTACCGCCAGTACTAACTACTTCAAGGACAGATGGGAGTAGCGGCAAATCGATCTACATATCCGATGTTGCAACTCGACATATTAAAGATCCATGCCGTCCTCAATGGAATGGTGTATTTTAAGGAACAATTAACTCGCTTTCATGGATAGGAGATACAAAAATGATTGATCAAGTTAAAAGTTATAACTGTGGTGCAACGTACTGCAAAGGGATTCTTCATACAGACACAAGGGATTTCCAACGGGAGATCAAGATCAAGAGATTGTAAAACGAAAATATTTGATGGACACATCCGGAATCGAACCGGAGACCACTCGCAGGATTGCAGATGCAAAGCGAGCGTGATAACCAGCTACACCATGTGCCCCTGTAAGGATTGTCATTTTCTTGTTTAATTCAGTCATTCAGCGGCACCCTCCCCTTTCACACCTCCTGTTCCTGCCTGCTCTTTCGGCGCATGAAGATACGCTCCAAGCACCACCAGCGTCAACGGAATACTACACAATTTCATGCCTGTTACATTGCACCCTGAACACTCAACAAATATACTTCGAGCATATGATGAACAGGTCGGATACATGCTACGATGATACTGAGAAGAGCTGCCCATACTAAGGAAGTCATGAATGTATTGATCCTTTTGTAAAATACAAACAAGATGTTGGATGTTGGATTTGGGTTGATGGTGACGGTAGTGATGGAGGTGGGATGGAGTTGAGTGTGGAGGAGGAGATTGAGAGTGGTGATGAAGAGGTAGCAGAAGCTCTGTGTCGGAGGCGGATGGGGAACCGGCAAAGTGTATGAGTGACGATGATGTGTCGTAAGTCGATGTGGCCAGAAGCGTGTTCGAGTCCACAACAAAGGTCGAAATTGACTCGATGTGCGTGGTGCAAGTCATGCTCTCCTGTCTCCTGTCGACACTGGCTAATTGGAGCCTCCTCATCAGCTTGGGAAAGCAACTGCACCCCAATACTCCATCTCACATGTTGACAACCATCCCAAGCGTAGAGTACAACACCAAGTACATCAAAGCCCTTCCAATCATCGCATTCTTACTATTGTCTGCATTCAATCCTGGCACACCGCTGACTAGTGACTACTAGACTGCATCAAGGTGATTGGAAGTGAGTTGGAGTTCATGAACATGCCTGCTGGTCCAGCTGTGACATTAGTATTATGCAACGTTGTGATTTTAAGACTCACAAACAAAGATAGTCCATACGCAACCAACGTGGATATGACAGTAACAAGAACGAAGAATATAATATCCATAATTCTCTGGCAAGTTTTTCTGTAAAGCCATCAGTGATACAACAATACTTTTTCACACCTGGAGAAAGAAAAAACCTTTTGTCTTCTTATCAAGTATACTGTATACCTCTAGAAGTCCTTGCAAGTATATAGTATGAAGACTTTAGGAATAGACTGCCGTGCACTCTCAGTAGGACGGCATGGCAAAATCCAGAATGATAACAACGTACCTTGAATCAGCCAAAAGAAGAGTAAACACAGGACCCGCTGCCTCTGGCTTCGTCCAAGCAACATATATATGTACGGAGTTCAATCGACATATTGGGTCAAGAGCGCTCTACGACCAGTTCCGTCTTGAAAACTTCGAGACGAAGGTCCGCGCGTGTAGGTTCCGGAAAAGTCAGCGAACGGCCCCTGTCTTCCCATTGTCGGTTATCCCACATACTTGCGCTCTGGAAATAGCTTTCTCGTCTATCACACCTCTTTTCCGATTCTGAATGTTCCCATGGCGCATGCTTGCACCCTTCCTTCTTATAATACATCCTAGTCATCCTTTCAATGTCGTCATGCCATCCTTGTTGCGTTCTCCAGTTGGGCGACAGATCCCCACATTTTACCACCGTTTGCGGTGTAAGTGGATACGGCTTCACTAAAATGGTGTATGATTTCAGGAGGCCGACGCGCTCTTCAATTGAAAAGAAGTCCATATAGATAGAAAGAAAATCATTTTCCAGTCTTTCCGCTTCCTGAGCCGTTATCTTCCAGTGAGGAGAAACAGCTTCAGTCTACGTCAAAACTAGCTCTCAGTAGTCAGAATTAGATATCAGAAGCTTACTCACTGTTGAAAAGAACGTCAGTTTGATGGGGCGAGGATATCCACAACAGAACGTGTCTTCAAACGGCCAGTCTGGAAGGACGATATCGTAATCGTTGACCTTCAAAGATGAATTGGGGACGATTCTCCTAAACTTGTCCCGGACAAACGTCAAATCTGGAGTTTGACCCCGTTGGATAGGTAGAACGTGAACCCAGCGGGTCAACCGAGGATGTGGGAACAAGGGGCCTAAGGATACCACAATACCAGGTACGAGATCCATGCCTTGTAGAAGAGGGTTGGTGGATAATTCGGGATCGTGCCAGTAGGATGGATCTTCGTATGGTTTTAATAACTCCAGTGTAGGTCGAGCGAGGATTTGGAGGTATACTATTTGACCTAGTTCCACCGGAAGATAATCCTGTGGTGGTAAATGCTCGTCTGTTGATTCGTACCGCAAGTCAATTCGATGCTACGGCACACAACAGCTGAAGGACGCCACCTGTTGGGATTTGCACGGCTGTTTCTATAGTCCAGTCGAAAGGCCGATTCCGGTCCAAGTTATATGATTCCGCTAGGTCATCGAAAGTTTGCGTCCAACCTTGGTAGTCAGGTATCTGGTCGTAACGAAGTTCGCGAGCATAATCTAGAAAATTCCCGAGGCATGCTGGTAGTCCTCTACCAAGTCCGGCGCCTGACCAATTACGCTTTTTATGCAAGACCTGGTTCGCTGCATTGAAGATATGTGGTGCATGATAATGTCGCCAAGGCAGACCGCCTTGAAGAAAGGCAAGGAGAATGTATGCAAGCGACTCCAGGTCATCACGACGGCTGAGTTCTTATCGGAAGGGATATTAGCATGGAAGACCTGAGAAGGAATCAAGCACCCACGGTAACCCTCGTGAGAGCGGATACTAGCCCACGTCAATGTTCCGACGATGCAAGCGTCGTCTCTGACGATTCGTTTGCAATGATCGGAATCTACCATATGACTTGCGAAAGCGAAGTCGACGATTTTTAATTGCTGAGGATCTTCAACCGATACGAGAATGTTGCACGGCTTGATATCTCTGTGAACGATCCCCTTTCCGTGAAGATAACACAGCGCCGACAACTGATAATAACTTATTGTTAGACCGCAGGATAGGAGACGGCAGCGGGTGAAGTCCAGACCATTTGTTCCGCAATTTTCAGAACTGTGCCCAAGGGAAAACGTCCAGGATGTTTGCTGTAAAACAGGCGACTCAAGTTTGACCCGAGCAATTCTAAAGCAAGAAATTCAAAATGCTCTGGTCGACCATAAGCATAGAACTTGGGTATCGAGATATGACCCTGCAAATACTCCAAGACACAGGCTTCGTACTCCAAGAGAGGTTTTTTTAATTGCAACGATGCTCGAGATTGTTTCAGCGCAATAAAACTGGCCCCTGGGATGTCAGAAGTCGCTCTCCAAACGACACCCTAACGTGAGATAAACAGGAAGACTCAGCACATGTATATGCAAACTAGACTCACCGTTGAACCAGATCCGAGCTCAGATAAAATCTTAGCGTGAACGGTGGTGAATGGAGGTTTTTTTGCCATCGTTGGGGTCGTTGGAGTCAAAGTTTATAAATAGTTACTGCATGGCAGTGACGCCGCACGCGGACGCATTGGCATCGCACCCATGATGAGATATCCCGTAAGTTCAGATCCAACCAATTCCTGGTGTCTGGGAGACGAGCGCCGATGGCAAAGGCCAATGGCGTGCGGAGGTCCTTAGCGAGGACCAGATTGGACAATGAATTCAAATGGTTAAGTATGATTTCAGACTCACTGTCAGAGCCTCTCTATCCGTCTGATCACATTCCATCATACTCACTTGATAGGACTCGGACTCGGAGCCTGAGGTGGTCAATATCAAGCTCGAATTGCCAACACTTGATCGACTGAATCCATGGGAAGAGGATGGAGCCAAGGTCTCTACTACTAAGTCAAAGTTGTAGCCCGATCTAAATGTACGAAAACACAAGTTCACAATTTTTTGGTGTACTTTCAATGATTTATGTAATGGTACAGCATCGCAAAACAATGTCAACTTCAAAGACTTCCTTTTAGTATCATCACACAGCCATGGACCGCCGTTTCAGCTTATCGCGAGCAAAGGGGAGTTTACCCCAAGGATGGAAGTCACTTCCACGATGACCACTTCTCCTTGCCTGTTTGTCGTGGTGTTTTCTCTCCTTGGACTTCTCCAGATTATGGAATCTGGCGGGACTTATAGGCGATGATGTGTGGATATTGGATGAAGGGGTTGGTGGGGTTGATGATGACACATTTTGAGTTGCCTTTTGGACTTCTGTTTCGTCATTGTTGTCCTCATCCTTCTCCCCATCTGAATCGTACGCTGAAAGACTCGTGAGGGCCGTCTTTGCCTTCAAACTGGCCGCTGCAGCTATTTTCTTCTTGACGAGCTCAGCCTGTGGGTCCGAGCCACTCAACTTTGGCCGTTTGGCTTCCGAACCACTGGCTTCCTGCGTAGAGGTAGGGAGCAACGGACCAATGAACGTAGCAGGAACCTTTGTTCCCAGATCCTCATTCGCCTCCTCCCGTTCCTTCCGCTTCTTCATGCCCGAAACAAGACTAGGGCGGCTGAGTTGCGTAGGCTGTGGCGCTGCTGAATTGACTGCTGCCTCAAGACCTTGGCCTTTCTTTCGAATATAAAAAAGCATGTACGCGCTCTTCTTCCAGTGAGATGAGGCTCCTGCGGGGGACACAGACTCGTCATTCATCTCCCACCAGCGGCCATCTCCACTTTTGACAAACGCGTAGTAGTGACCAGAGTGTGGTCCACTGCCAGCATGGCAAATGACACCATAGAGTGAGTAGGAGGGTCCAAATTGATTTTCGCTCATATAGGGCTGAAGCGACAAGTCATCATCGTAACGGACTGGGTTTGTTAATTTTCGGCCCATCGGAGAGAACCTCTTCAAATGGACAGTGAGAACAACAGGCGCTTCGTGCACGGTGAATTGTTTTTCAGCGTTGACATGCTTCTTGCACCTTTTTGAACAAACTGATGAGTATTTGATTGTCCCAGAAGTACAGAGGACTTACTTTTCGCATTTATACTTGTTAGAACCTTTAAGATGGTCAATAGCTATGAACTTTTTCAAAGCATCCCTCAGAGTGTCCTGTTGGTGTATGTCGACACTGATGTCCAGCACCTGATCGAAGGTGTCGCTGTTATATCCACAACTCTGACACGTCACACGGGACCGTAGCTTTCCACCAAAAATTTTGTGAACCCAAGTTGTCTCAGC